AGTTTGGGGCTCTCTGCTGGAACTACTACCCCCACGACCCGACCATGGATAAGCGGGAGAAGATGGATGGATGGATGGATCTTCCAACCATAAAAGCCAGTAACAGAGCCTTGCTCCCTTAAACATGGGTGCTTTTTCACAAGTGCTTCAGCTACCGAATCAAATTCAGCACTTGAGGGATATGCTTTATATTTCACAATCTGTGATGCCAAAGTTTCAAGAATATCTGACTTCATTCTTAGATTAGGACTGAAGAGGGTACCATTACTTTGAAAGTCACTATTGGCACGCTGGAGTTGGATCTCAACATCATAGACAAACTCCGGCACAGGAAAGGCGTTTGGCCATGGCGCACTTCTGAGGGATGATGTTGACGAAGAATCAGAAGATGAGGGAAGATCAGTGTCCACAGATGAGATTGAATTGATCTCATCCTGGCTGGATGTCCGTGCAGAGAAGCCAGGACTGCTTGTAGATAAGGCACTTGGGGGGTAAATTACTTTGATTTTCCCCTTGTTTTGAATGTCTGAGGTGGAGGTAAGGTTTATAAACTCATCAAAATCAAGGTCCTTGTATTGCAGTCTAAAGTCTCCAAACACCTCACATTGTCTCTTAATCTCACTTTGAAGTTCCTCAACAGAGCTTGGTATTCCCAAAGGCAGGGTTACTTTTGCAGTCATTTTCTCCTAGGATGATGCAAAGCACTGCAGAAGTGGCCATACTTGTCAACAGGTTACTCTAAAGAAAAGACAGAAGAAGATATATATTTTTTAAACAGCAGGTAATACAATTCGAGGCAGATCCAGTCATCATCAGTAGAGGTATCATAGGCATTGAAAGCACTGGGTTAGTGTGATGGAAGTATTCTTTAAACTTTAGTAACATATTTAATGATGTGTTGTGTAAATATTTATATTTTAATGACTCTTGCACGTGTGTAGTAATAAAGCCAAAGTAAACATTAAGGCAGCATTATCATTTTTGGTAGTTCAATTAAACTGCAGACTGATTTGAATTGTCGGCAGTTTCAAATTTATATTGCAAATGTTACAAAATGCAACTTGACTTGATTAACTAGCATGCATAGATTTAGTTAGGGAACACCAGCATCCGTGTAGTTGTGTTTTATTATTTCTGTAAACCTAACCTCACTTGTTTCTGACTCCAAACCCCAGATGTTTTTAATTGATATTCTGTGTCTTATTTTACCCACATTCCCATGAAGACATTCAGTCAAAGTCAAATAAAAATTAAAGGATAATTACCTGACATGTGTATGTATCTTTTAAGGGTGACCATTCGGAGGGTTCCACACTTGTAGTCACTCAGGGGATAGTTGTCAGTCAGTTCACTTAACTCTGCCAACACAATCTCTCTGGCTGAAGATGACTGGAGCTCAAATGCTCCGTAGTGCTCCCTGTACCATGAAGACAATTTTCTGCATATAAAGATCAATGTGTTTTTCAATATACACATTTGAAGTATTTCTGCAAATTCAGGCAGTCCACCTACTGATCCATGCACAAGAAGCATTCCAATTCTATATTCAATGCCATTGCTAGAGACAATGTGTCCTAGCGTGACTGTTGTGAGGTTAGTGTATTTCTGACTTAGTTGAAGTGCTATGTCTTCTTTCATGATATCTAATGGAATTCTTGAGACGTTTGACACGTCAAAGGCTGACCTCTCATTACTCCTTGTGTGCATGTGATAGCCAATCATCAGCTGGTGCTTATTTGCCAGAGACAGTGTAATGTTCTTGAAACACTTTGTGTGTCTTACAACCTGTTTGAAATAACTGTGCTTGGCCTCAAAACGCATAGTCCAAAACATCACAATGGGGCCGAACAGCTTAATCATTTCTGGGTAATGCTCCAAAAAGTGATGTTTTGGCAAGAGTCGCTGATCTGGAAATACTTCTTGGTATCTCTGTCTGTGCTCTGAGATTTTAAACTCTAAACATGCCACAGACTCCTCACAGTGGATAGGTGCAACAACAAGCTCTACAATATGTTTCAAATCTAGAATCACTTTCCAAGCTGGTTCGTCTTCAGGGATCAACTGCCCAATCATAAACGGCAATAACCTCAATAAACACCAATTTCCGTGCGCGTTACCACCAATTATTTTGTTTCGGACAAAATTAACTGGGACCAAATGAGGTCGGTTTTTTTTGTCCCCCCACTTGTATGGAAAGTTTGTGATGCTCTTGTTGAGGTTTTCAAGCGGAAAAAACTTTTTGGAAATAAGCACACCAAGGCACAGTGCAAGCTCTACTGGGACTATGCCCTCAAAAAGATCATGGACAACATCAGGAGGATACCCTGATGTGACACTGAAATGGGCAAGTCTTTCTGTGAAAATACACGCTTTTTTTACACCAAAAAAGCTACCTCCTTTTGCCTGTGCAGTATTAATATGGACTTGATGAAGCTCCTTGTTTCTTGGGGTAAATGCACGCGATTTCACTTCTTTAACCTGAGTTTCAGCTCGCTGAGCTGTACAAAACCTACAGGCATATGGGCCCGAGAAACTTTCCACAAATCCAGCTATTCCATGTGCTGCAAGGTTGTCTGACACTACACACTGAAGTGTCCCTTTCACAAATGTACCCAGTTGTGAGACAAAAACACCCTGCCGCTCCAATGTAACAAAGTCTTGGAGTAATGGTTCAAATACTTTGCAATAGCCAAAGGTCTTCACGTCATCACTTCTACATAAAAGAGCCAGGTATATTGAGGTCAAAGAGGAATGGCTGCCAGGAGGCAAATTTCCCAAAATCCAATAGACAGCACAGAGTTTGTATGTTTTACGTGAAGTACCGAGTGGGTTGCAGACTTCAAAGTCATCTACGTATAGACAGATGGAGATTCTCAGTTCCCCCCCTGACAGAAAATCATTGTTCTTGAAGTACTGGCCATCTTCAAAAGATTTATAGTGAAGGTGGTCACTCACTACCTGTTGCTCTCTTCTCTTTTCAACAACCTTGCTAAGCACATCATTTTGATTAAGTAGCTGATATAAAATCTTTAGCAAAGGGACATACTGAAAACTTCTTTTAGTCTTTGCATCAAGTATGTACTGAACTGGATCAACAATATTGAAATGATCCTTGTAGTATTGCTTTCTCTTAAAAGCAGTGGCTAAAGGTCCTTCCTTTTGTAAAGCTTTTGACAGAGGGTTGGACGTACAACGTGTACAGCCTAACTCATTAATGAGCAATTGGTCAACTTGCAAGTTATGGTTACTGAAGAAATCAGCTAGAATGTTGTTGGATACTGGCACCAGAGAAGAACTAATCAAATAGTGCAACTCGTTTAGCAGCTCATCAATGGCAGAGCCTGGTACATGGAAACAGTTTTCAAGTTTTAATAAAATAAATGCCAGTTTCTGTTCTATAACTTTATGCAAGTTCTCTGACGTTTGGACCAATGCACCAACCTCAAGTTCATCATCGTGAAGTATCTCATCACTCTCTGTCAAGCATGTATCTCCCAATGTACAACTCAATGAATCTGCCCTTCCATTTTCCACAATTCCAGCTTTGAAATTGTTCAGTGTATGTGTATTGTGCTTTCTGTTCTTGTGTGATTGATATGTTCCGTAAATATTTGTTGAAAAGGAACAAGTTTCAAACACAAAACAGATGGTTTTGTGTCTTTTGAGATGGTTGAAGATGGTTGAAGATGGTTGTAGAAAGGTCCCATTGCATGGTCCTTTCTACTGATCATAATACCATTGTTGAGGGATATTACAATAGAAAAATACTGTGCAATTTTCCAAACTCAGATTGGTTTCTCATACATTATCTCTGTATAGTATGAGTTTTCACTCCCTGTGCTAAACGGCTCGATGGAGTTCCTGCCCCCACCCTCCTGTGCGTCCAGTGTGCTCCGATTGGTCAGCTCTGCCACTCTGTTCTGATTAGTCAACCACCAGAGAGGCTCTGCCCCTGTTGACATCTGCCGTAAAGTGGTTTAGCGGGTACTTAGCAACATAGCAATACTAGATTTGAGAATCGATAGATAGATAGATAGCTTACATATAGCATACAATGGCGTATGGAGCATACAATTTCGAACCTCCGTTCGATCCTAGAATAGACCAAATCGCGAGTCTTGCCTCGCCGTTCACTAGAGCAGACCAAACAGTGTCATTGTGGTACGTTTTTATCTAGTATATGTCTTACATTTCAGATGTCATCAGATGTACCTACAACTGTTGTTATTTAGGTGCCGTTGTGGAAACTGCGCTTTGATGCCAAGTGACGGAGAAAACGTGTGCTGCAATAGCATAAGAAAGGTAGCCTAGCTTAGTTACATTATGTCGGCAGCTAGCTGAAAACACCAACAGTAGCACACATATACCAAGATATACAGCATACATGTTTTTCAAGTCAATAGACTATTATATCACGCATGCTGCAAGTTCCAGAACCCATTAACTGCATGGTTGACCACCCAGGACTAGAGCCTAACTGCTTGAACCCATACACCCTGCAGAATCTCCACAATATTTATAAATACAGTTTCGGACCTTTGACAAATACAACGGAAGAAGAGTAAGTTATTGTTACCTGTAATAAACTACTACCGTTTGATGAAAAATCAAATCATGGTTTGCTATATATGAATGATATGTTATAGGAGCAAATAATTCAGGAAACAAAGGCTACTAAGTATTTCCATCAAACTTTTTTGTGTGAATGTATATTTGAATGTAATGTACATCATCCATTCCTCTCCCGATAGGCGTTTTCGATATCTTGCGTATCGCAGCTTTGTAAGCTGGTGCTGGGGATATTTAGGGCGAGGCATCAGAGTGGTGATTCCGTCGTGTGTTGTGCTCCGCCAGGAGTTTCCAGATCTGGCTGGACAATATGTAGGATTTCGACCTCCTTTGGGGGGACACGGGAGAAACGGCTGACAATCATTTCCTCCTTGGGGGGCCTGTCAAATTGAGTTGACAGGTCCTCCGGGACGTGGATTCGTTTCAGCTCGTCCACAAAGGGTGTAGGGTCCAGAAAGACTTTGTGAAACACAAGCTTCGTCAGCTCATCCACATAGACTGAAAAAGAAAGCATTGTATAAATAATGTTATTGTTATTCACCTTTTGTATTTAATGTAATACTTTTATTGTTCATTGTATCTTTAATCATTTGAAATGTAAGTTCTGTTAATAATAATAAAAACAAATATTTCACAACTTACTGTATGTAGGGTCGTTCTTAACAGACTTGACCGTACACTCTCCCCTCTTTGATTTTGGATAAGCCAATTTGAAGACAAGTTTTCCTGCAGCAGTTGTCGCTTGGTCACGCCCAGCATTCTCGTTGTGATGCATTGCTGCTAGACACAACCTATAGAATAGCAAAATAAAATGAGACTTTGTGTTATGACAGAATAAAACCCTCATGCCACTAAACAGTGACTGTGTTATAAGATGCTACAGAATAAAGTATACAGTGTATTACCTGCACAACATTCCAATGAAGGGGAAAACCACCTATTTTGGGGTAAAACGCAGAATTAAGTTGTGGAAGGACTCTAGGGATGAGGTCTGGTAGTGATGGCTTAGCTTTAGCACATCTTTGAGAACTCTCTTGTTGGTGAGTATCGTTTCAACTCTGGCGAGTGTTATTGAGCCTTGAGTAAAATGACAAAGACATTAGGTAAATCACCAGCACATTAGAACATTACAACAATAATTTGCCATAACAACAATGTTATATTTACATTCTATATTGTTGATCTTATGAAGGAAGTGAAATATTGAACTTACCACCTTTTAGGTAAGGTTTATTTGCATCGCTTGCGGCTCCTACAGGATGTGTGCACTTGGGGAACAGGGGGTCATCATGCACGTGAACGTTTTGTAGGTGGTTGACCAGTGACGTCCACCTTGCCACCTTCTCCGGCCCCGAGGTTGTGCTCGTCGCACTCCAGTAGACATGGTTTTTTATGCTGCACAGCCACCTCTTCAACTTCGTGTCACAGTCCTTGTTCTGTGTAAGTTTCAGAAGTTTCTTGGACAAACCTGATAAAAAAAAAGCACATGCACAAGTTAATATTCAAGCCATAGTGTGGAAATGACGTGCTGTGATGGACAACATTCAAGGGTGTGGTGGAAATTCCACACTTCATATATCATCAACCATAACATACATATGATAATTGCCTGTCAGTGCGACACCCTTCTGTCTGAAAACATTTCATAGCCAGGAAACCTCCATACATATTCATATCACTGTAAATTCCCATTCTAAAGAGTACTCACATTATCCTAGGATTAGTGAGTGAAATGTAATTTACAATGAGAAAAGGTGCTGTGATCAAGTGGTCTGGCAGGCCAAATTGTAGGAGATATAATGAATGTATTCAGACATTATGTCATGTCTGCTGCTGATTAGAAGCTCAGGATAAATTGCATAGTAAAACAAAGGAATATCTTAACAAAGGACAGTGCCTCTGATTTGGTATTCTTCCATTACAACATATAGGGATAAATACCTTTTTCAAAGTGCCACACATCATAGAATTGTTCGATGTTGCGTTCCCTCAGGTACTTCTGGATCTGCGGATGACGGTCAGTCACAATGTACTCAACCGCCAAATCCTTTGACTCCAGATGATCTAGGCATCTTTTGAGTCCCTCCTTTTCCATGTGGTAACTACCACCTACTTCATTGCTCTGTTGGGGAATAACAAATAGGGCATAAATACACAGAAGCATGCATCAACAGCCAGCAAGCCTAAAATGATAGCACCCAGAAAGAGAATCACACCTGAACAAGCTGGAAGTCTAGAATGGTGTTGCTTCCCAGGTTCATGAGTGTGTAGCTCCCGAACTTAGCCGAGTGTCCTGAAGAAAATATAATACAGGAGGTTTCAAGGCTTTTCAAACGAACTTCAATGGATAAGTAGATGAATTGTAATATACACCAGTAACTCTGGCACTAGACTGTCTTGTCTGTTTCTGCTTACCTGGAGAGTCTGCTCTCATATCTCCTGCAACTGCGACCTTTCCCCCCTGTTGTTGTAGATTATCGAAATTCTGCTGCTGATCAGTGTTCCACTTGTGGATAATAGCAGGCTCCAGGTAACTCTTAGCATGCCTCCTGAAGGTCCCATACCCGATGATCTCCAGCTGCATGGCTCTGCATATCTATGAATAAATAGAAAAAAAGGAAACGTTTTTGAAAAAGTCCACTGCTGTCATTTTTCATATGCTATAGATGTTAGAGATGGTAAAATACCTTTCGTAGTTGGAAGAAGGAACCCCCAGTGAAGTATGTAGCAGCGGATAATTGTAAATTGCCAACCGGGGTACTTCCGATGACGGGCTGGCTCTCCCATTTTCTGAAGTAACTGCAGTTTGAACAACGCTGTGTGAACGCCACATAGGTCCCCACTTTTCTTGTTTGGACATCACAGTCTGTCTTACACACCGGACATTTTTCAAACAGCTGTCTGAGGCAGCTTTAAAAAACAATGTACTTTACGTCATGGTGCGTGGATCGGGTCTGAAGTCTAATGTAACAAAAAAAAATTAACAATAAGTTTTAGATTTCAACTCTGAAAAACAGTAATAGTAATGTGTACCAAATGTACCAAACTTACGATACGTCGCATTCTTCTACAGTATCATCAGGGTGGTAACTCAAACCCAGAGTCTCCTCAAATTCTGTCAACGTCTCTGCTTGTTCCTCCTCCAACTCTAGTCGAGGTCTCTTGCTAGGTCCCAATCCTGGGCCCTTTATTGGTGTAGAGGACAAGGGGATTTCTGTGTAGGTGGAAGTTTTAGTGCCAACACTTTTGAAAGACACCGTGCCCTGGATGCCTGTTAATAAAAAGGGAAAAGTGCATAAATACTATGTACATTAGATAAGACACTAATACATTGTAAAAGGCCAACAACTTGTGTACATCTGACAGATTAATTCATGAAAAATGTACAAACTACAAACAGCACTGTATTTCTTGTAGTCAACATAACAGTATTTCTGTGATATACAATAATATCAAATAAGGTTTTATTTATAGAGCACATTTAAAAACGATTTTTGGTCGAGCCCAAGTGCTGTACATGTAATAAAAGCACAATTAAGGTAATGTATCTGTGATTTGTCAGTGTTATAGTCTACCTTTGCTTCTCACGTATGCCGATTTCAGTGTTCCCCGGGCCAACTGTGTAGCAACAGAAATGGCGGACACTTTACATTCCACTGTCTGTGTTCCCACAGACCGTGTCTCAACCCTCTGAGTTCCCACACAAACAGTCTGTGGACGGTCTGTTTGACATCCGACTGTACCGGAGCAGTTGGTATTGTGTTCCTGCTGTGATGTACTCTAAGAAAGATACACATAGTATTCATACAATTAATTGTGTATCCGAGGAAAACAGTCAATTTCATAAAAGCAACACTTTTACAATTACAATGTTCTACAGATAGTCTGCTACGTTTGGTCATTCATTGTAGCTGGCATGAAAACAATGTTTTTCATAACATCTCTAGGTTAGAGCTTCTAGCTTAGCTTATTAATGGTAGCTCGGTAGAATACACGAAGGGCAACTGTAATTACTGACCGTACGGTTAAATCACCCGGAGTATACTGTCTGAGTATTTCGTGTGTGTTTGCAGACATTCTCCTGCTATGAGATACATGTAAGGCCATGTGCTAACATCGGTGTTGAGGTCTGGGAATGCTAGGTAGCCCTCGTGTTTACCTCGGTAGCATAGCATTAACATAGCATAGCATTTACACAGTCGTGGTAGATACATTGTTTGTTTTAAACAGAATAAATACACAAACCACAATGAATACTTACAGGTTGTGTACCCGAATCTCCCGCTGGTCCAAACAAAGTAGGAACAGCATCGTCCTCCAATATCAGCTTAGCAAGTCCGAAGCTAAACATTGTTACGTTTTTAAAGCTTTGGTCCGTGAAATGCCGCGCACACACAACAGTACCGGCTGGTAAATCAGCTGGAACAGTGTTAAAAAGGAATGTCAACCACTGACTTCGTCGTGGTTCTGCCTTCGGTACTGCAAACATTGTGGATTTCTCCACACAATACAGGCAACAGACCCTCCGCGACATGACTGGATAGAGCTTTGAAAAGAAGCAGGTTTTACGACACTTAATATGGTCGGCTGGCAGAGGAAGTGACGTCACGCGGTGCAGCTACGTCACGCGGTGCAGCTACGTCACGCGGGGCAGGAAGTAAACAATGGAAACTGAGAAATCTCCAACAAGGCTTTTGGGGGAGGTATTTTCTGTGTTAGAGTTTACTCGCTACAGGGTGTACTTTGAGGGTTTTGACTTTGCAGACTGTTTACATGCATAAAAACCTTCATAACACACAAGGAGACGGGCAATAACCGGAAAAGCATGACATGGGACCTTTAACATGAACGAAAAACTCTCTCAATGAGACAATGCCACTACAAGAACAATGATGGCAGGTAAATGTTGTTACATTTACAGATTTTTGTGATGTTTGATCAAAATGTGATCTGGATAGATGACTTCGAAGGGCATTCCAAGTTTTAAATGTGCATGGGCATTTAGAATATGTGCATGGATAAGGGTGTCTGCGGCCAAAGTGGCCATGTTTTAACCTGTAGTGCTTCAATAGCTGAAATCTTGAGGTTTCCTCTGCAGCACAGTCTTTACACTTCCACATGTAACTGAAAATAAAACAAACAAAAATATTAAACAAAAAATGACAATCTGAATATAGATATACGAGTTACCAACTTTACTGTAACCACTTTAGTGTTAATCTAAGATAAACCTTGATCCTTTTTTTAAAATGTTAAACACCCATGCATTAAATAGTAAGATGACCATTGTACTTACTGCTAATGAGGAGCCATATTATGTAGAACATCCACCATTCAAGCTTTGGAATGTTTCTTCATAAGGAGACCTCCTGTAATTAAAAATGTATCAGACATGGTTAAATAATTTTTTTAACTAGAAAGTAGAACAAGCACTCTTTTGGTGTATATGAAATATGAACATGGATTATAATTCAATACATGCGAACATCTGGGTTTGGTACAGGTCTGGCTACTTTCACTCAAATATTTACTTAATGGTAAAACAGCATATAGTTTTTAAAAATGTGTTGCCACCAGCACATGAATTGTCAGTCAGTCTTTGCAATATATTGTCATTCACAGGAGCTAGGGTGACCAGATGTACCGCTTTGCGAGGGACTGCACAGCATTTTCACGACTTTAGGTGCGTCCCGCATATTTCATTTTGATTGGCTAAAACGCTTTTCTAAAATTCAGAGATCGGCCGGCTCGGTTCGCTGATGGCCGGCACCGCCCTTTATTATTATGTTTTAAACAGCATCATGTAAGTTGCGCTGACAGGCGACAGAGGTCCACATTGTCCCCCCCTCCCATAATGTCATCTATTACTGTCTGTCATCAGACCTCTAGGGGGCGTGCTCCCCCGGGAAGATTTTTAATTAAATATTGAAGTTAAAAGCATCAATCTGGTGCACTTTGAGAGCAAAATGAAGAGATCTATGGATACATCTTTCAACACCCATATAAAACAGAACTGTAGGCAGATTTTTCTTTTTGGATATTTTACAAATCACTCCCCTTTTAAACTCTAATCTTGTTATTTTTAACAACTTCTTTGTTACTGTCATATAGTATTTTATACCTGTTTTTCATTTAGTCTCTAATGTCTCATTAATAACTATAATGATCATATCAAGGTGTGCCTTAACCTCACTGAGCTGAGGTTATTTGAGCCTCTCAGGGGAGAGCTCTCTTCCACCTGGTTGTAGAAAAGCTCTTTAAATTCGTTAGCATAGCTAGCTAACGAGATGCTAATAACAACAGATCGCCACTGTGCTTACAACTAAAGACACAGCCACGCAAACACTGCGGTATGTGTACGGCTCCTTATGGGTACTGCAATATTTGAAGAGCTGGAGCGGCGTTCCGGTGCTCTCCGTCAGAACTCCTTTCAGACATATACCACGTGAAGACACGTTACGCACGTGTTGTGTTTAAGGAACCTGTCATTGGCCAGGAAAAACTGGAACTCGCTGGTTTAATTATTTTGCGGTCTAGATTTCTTCTTCTTTTTTGAAGTGAGAAGTTGTCGTCCGTCAGTCCGACTCAGTCCGTCAGTCCGACTGACGGACGACAACTTCTCACTCCAAACCCCCCCCCCAAACGAAAACTCTTCGGTTCTCCACGAATTACACAAGTCACCCAAATCAGCGTTAAAAAAGCGGGAGGCGCCGAAAAGCGACTAATTTGCATCACATCATTTGCTCCCTCTCTCACTCGCCCAACCACTAGCTGGTTTGCCGTTAGCAAGCTAGCCCTCACACTGTAACATTAGTGGTGCCTAAAATAACTGCTATCACACAGTCTGTTCTTTATCTGCAAGCTTCTGTCTTCCCCCGCCACAGGCAGCTCAGTTGGTTAATAGCCGGTCCTGCTCACTGACAGTCAAACACATACCCCTAAACCCGACCAACAGCCATCTTCGCGCCACTTTCACAATATTAAATTAAAATGTCACAACACACAAGTCTGAACCACTTGGGTATTCACTTCAGTCAAAACGTACTTATTTCAGTCAGTCATTTCTAATTCAATTTAAAATGGTTTGGTTGCTACTGTGATGTATTCCTGCTGGCTAGCATTAAGTTAGTTAGCAGCTTTACAGCTAGCCATCCTTAGCTGCCATATGCTAAAATATTGCAGATATTTCTGCGAGTTACAACACTCTCAATTTCACATTCTAACCGTATGTTTATAAACCAATTTAAAATGTTGCATAGGAAAAACATACTCACTCATTCATTTGGATGTCGCTGAGGTCTCTGCAATAGACCTATCGCTAAGCCACGCCCCCTTTGAAAACTCGGACAAACAAAGCCGACCGTGAATGACTGTTGACAATGGCCGCGGGGGGAGTTCAAGTTAAAAATAACATTAAAATAGAAGAAAGAGCTAATAAAAGCAACAGCAGATGAAAGTTAACAGTTAAAAGCAAGAGTAAAAAGGTAGCCATGTATTTCTTTATATCAAATATCTAATCTTGTTGCCTGTCGTGTGTAGTGGTGACTGTTGTGTAACCATTGAAATTATAATATGATGTTGAATGTTAGCAGTGGTGGTCACTACATTAAATCTATAACTATAACTGTCCTTGTTGGTCATCATTTTCACTGTTATGCACCTGGCTGACTGTAACGTTACCTTTTTTTGGGTGAGGGTCTGTGTCTTTTCGGAGCAGCACACACGAGAGCCCGGATGGGATCTGGATATTCCAGAGTTGGCTTCCCATCTCTGAAGTGCTTTGAGGTGAAAAGACAGTTAGCAAAAGTTAGCTAAAAACACCAGCTAACTAGCGAGGACGAAAAGTCAGATAGCAAACGTTGATGTTGATAACACTAGCTAGTTAGCTGGCTAACAAGTTGGCAGCT